TTAAGTAAATTTATTTAAATCATATTAAAATTAATGTTCAATAGTTAACATATGTTTTGTGTAGTGTAAGGTGTCGCATCCGAATCCGAAAAAGGCCGGATATCCGGAAATTTTCTATTCGAATATCCGAATCCGGATATCCAACATGTTCCTATGGCATATTCAACGAAGAAAAGGAAAAGAATTTTAAAAATTATTCGACAAATTTTTTTCAGAATTCTGATTCTTAACTTTGAGTAAGTAGAGCTCTCTATTTTTACAAAATCACTTCATATAGATTCACAATATAAAGACTAGTGGGGAAAGTGGAACGAGAAAATGAGTTATATTTTATGGGAGAGGTTATACTTTAAACGATGTTTTGGTAAGACCGACTGATGTCCAATCGAGTTTTCTACATAAAAAAGAAAGAACAACTGATGTCCAATCGAGTTTTCTACATAAAAAAGAAAGAACAAAAATATTAATGAAAAATTCAACTGAAGGGAAACAGCGGAATTTTAGAAATTTTCTAAAATACCCCCAAAATGATAAATAAATACCCCCCAACTTAAAAAATTGCCCTACCTTCAACTCAATGAGTTCTCTATCGAAAAACTTGAAACCCGGGCTATTTTGTAGCAAATTTTATGGGCTAAATTGTAAAATATGTTTGGAATATTTTAGAATAATTTAGAGTTTTCTAGAATAATTTAGATTAGTTTAGAATGTATCTTAAAACAATATTTAATTAAATAGATTAAGTATAATGATGATAAAACAGCCAGTTAACGGAGTAAAAATATCTAATCACTATTAAAAAATCAAATGTAGCAATATTTTTCTTCATAATTAAAAATTAAAAATCCATTTAAGTTTAACATATATTAAATAAAAAAATTTTTAAATGAAAAAGAAAGAATTAACGCTAAAAACAAGCTGACAATAATAATTTAAAAAAGTTTTTATAGATACGTGACATTTTTGCTTGAAGAAAAGCAATATTAATAAAGAATAAAAAAGACGCAAAAGTTCTGAATACAATACAAAAAAATTCTTCGATACAAAAAAATTTTTTCAAAAAAACTTTATTTCACCCTACCTCACTAAATTTGACACCTCGCTAAAACTTTTCGCTACACCTCATTAAAACTTTTCCTGCATCATAAGTTACTGATTTAAAATCTTAATTTTTTCGATTCCTTTCGTGAAAATTGAGATTTTTTTCAATTCTTTTATTTCGTAAAAAAATTTTTTTCGTACTTGTACACTGTTGTTTTATTTTTTCGTTAAGTTGAGAGCGAAACTCTTTTTCTTGGAATTACCATTTTTATACAATTTTATTTAGATTTACGTGTACTATATATTTTTTTAAAAATTCATCGGGGACGGCATATGTAGATTCAGGAGTGAAAAAAGAAAATCATATATCTTTATATACATAATTAAAAATTGTTAATTTATATTTAAAAATAATCTTTTCTTTATGTATGCCTCTCATTGAATATGCCACAGAGAAATCAGTAAAATCGAGGAAGAAAGTCCTTTTCAATTGTTACGAACAAGATTATCCCGTTGTACATTAACTTGACGCATTCCTTGTCGCTGTGAAGCTTGTGAGACGTAAACTGTTGCAACAACAGCATGAGTTTGTGTTGTTTTAATAAATTGGCTCTTGACCAATTTACGAAAATCTTTTGAGATGATAAACAAGCAAAGTTCTTCAATGCATTGCATTAAAGTTGTACCGGCAAACTGTATACAATAAATAGCAGTTGCCCCGAATGTATCGGTAAATTGGATTCGTGAAAAAACCGTATAAACCAGAATATAGAATGGGCATGGAAGTGTGCTAACCAAACAAACAATTAATATTTTTACTCGTTCTTTATGGTTTTCGTCAACTGTGTCAATTTGGTTTGTTTCTTAAATTTTATTTTTTATTTTAAAAATCATTAATAAATTACTAAATAGTTAAGTATGGGCGTCAATATTAATACATAGAATTACTAAAGGGTGTACTATTGGTGGAGCAGGACAATGTACACCCACGATGTACAACAGGACCGCCGCCAAAAGTACCGCAGGTCTTATGTATTTTATTAGCATTTTTTCAAGTTTTGAAGGCCAAGGAGTCAAAAATTTCCGTTTTCCAAAAATCCCTGCGAGATCCCGCAAGCGGAAGTAACTTCTAAGAATGTCTGCAGTACGGGATCCCGCGGGCCGGAATCTGCAAATCGAAAAAAGTGCGTAATTGCGCGAGCGGTATCCCGGAAATCCCGCGCGTGATCCAGTTCAGTGCCTGTCTCCAAATTTGTACCAGCCATACTCATGACCTTATCGTGTAAAGTTAACCTAATAATTTATTATTTGAATGAAACTTACTGTGATTGTAAATAAACTTGGCCAGTACGGCTACATAAAGTGGTATAGATATAGCTATAGCTAAATATATTTTTAAATCACCAACCGCAAGTAATCCAACGGTGAATGATCTTATTAATTAAATTAAAATTTATTCAGGGCGACTTTAGCGCGAAAACATTGGCGTCTGCACATATACATATATCTTTCTGCACATATATATCAGGGATGAGTCGGGTTGTTCAAGAGACTTTCTACGAATCTTTTGAACATTAACACCCCAGATCACTTGATATTTCATGTTTACCTCCATCGCACTTGATATCTCTCAAGTCTCGTTCACATTGGTGTTTTTTGGGGCTGGGTTCGAATTCAGACATAGGAGCTAAGACTTAAACAATTTTTTCTTCCAAAAATAAATGTTTTTAAACTTTAATTTTAAATTGTAAATTTGTTTTATAAATATTAATCATATCTGGACCGACTCGATAATATTTTTACCAAATTTATTGATAAAAATGGTAGAAATCTGGCTTCTTGGCATTCCAAAATTGCCAAAATTTTCGCCTGCGGCGCAGAAAAAGAAGTGGTGGCTTGTTCTTCCAAAATTCTCGAGTGCGGCTCAGGAAAGGTATTTGAGATTAAGATGGATACAGTATATTAAAATGTGAAAAGTTCGATAGAAAAATTAAAATGTCCATGGAAAAAGATGAAAAATGGACCCGGCCGGATTTTTCTGGATTAATCAGATTGGGACTCGGACTCTGGCAAACCGGCCAGGAGCCCGGTCCGGTACCGGGCACTAATAAAAAGCAATCTTAGGAAGAGTCTTCTTCAAAAAATGCACCAATGCACTAATATTTTTAGAATTTTTAAATAATTTCGCTTTCGCGTTTCGCATTTCGCTTTTTATTTTTTGATTTCGCCCAGCCCGATAGACACCTCTTGATCCTTTTATATCAGACCTAAATTTATACATAAAACTGGGTCGGGTTTTGTAATATTTCTCGGGTCGGATTTAGGGTCGAAAAAGACCGGGTTTAGGGTCCCTGATATATATTTGCATATTTTACGATTTTCCTTGCATATTTTGGACTACCCTAATGATAATTAAAACTTTAAAAGACGATAAATGTAAACTGTTTGATGTTTCTCCCATTTATCATTTTAAACTTTTTATTAAGTGATCACACTTGATTCAACCAGTTGGAAAAAGATGTCTTTTACCGCTAATCCTTAATAACTCCTTGACACTGAAAAAATTTTCGCTTCGGTTTCGGTTAACCGATGAATCCGGTGAAACCGACAACCTTACCGACAACCTTTACGATTGAGTCGAGACCAGAAAAGCTATGGTTAATTAAAGTTTGCTATAACTCAGTAAGCCAAGCTTAGTCAGTTAACCCCACCCATAGCAAAGGATGTATCATAAAACTACCTTAGAAGGAAAAACATGTCCGGTGAATATGCTGAAATTATTAGGTCGGGTCATAATTAGTGTCGCTTTTTAGATTAAATTTTTAGGGGTGTTGTTTTACAAATATTCTTTTTCTTAGTAATCAAAATAGAGATCTGAATCTACTCTTCATTTTAATACCATGTATCGCTATATATGTGTGATATTCTTAAAGTTATGGTTTTTTGAACCTCACTACCTCGTAGTGAAATTTAGAATTGTTTATACCATAAATTTTAAATTATAATATAATAATGATCTAGTCAATGGTGTCGTTGTCTATGCTAGACATCAAGAATAGGAATATCTGCTCTATACGTACGGCCACGAATGACTCAAAGACGCGGGCTACGCTTAAAGAAAGCAAATTAAATGCCGCGTGTATCCACTTTCATATGAAAAAACAAGACGACACTCCCCCAAAAACTTGTTCCTTATAACTCAGCGTAAAATCATCCGAATGATATATTATTATACACTAAATATTACCATTTAAATATGTATACTTGAGAAAATTTGATTCTCGATGATTTCGAAAATTTTGATATTTTCGAACAGATCTCACTGAATACCTAACCAAAAATTCTCAAATGCTGGGATCTTTTAGAAATTACACTAAACACATTCTCAAAAAACTTAATTTTAAAAATCAATTTAAATAACCGACACTAATTATGACCCGACCTAAATAAAAAGTTCCAAGGTATTGTCCAGCACTCCAAAGCAAAGTTATTATCCAGATAATAAGAATTAAAAATAGAAGAACATTAAATAAGAATTAAAAATAGAAGAACATTAAAAATAGAAGAACAAAAATAGAAGAACATTTTTCCGAACCATTTATCCCAAAAACAGGAGTCCCACAAGGGACAGTCTTAGGTCCATTACTTTTCTTAATTTATATAAATGACCTTCCAAAATATATTCCACAAAATGTTAAAGTAAAACTTTATGCGGACGATTTTAAGATTTATTCAGAAATTAAGACGGAAAAGGACTGTATAGAGTTACAGGGGGCTATAGACAATGCGTGTAAATGGTCAGAAATGAATCAACTTAAATTCTCTATAGCAAAAGTAAAGGTTTTAAAAATATACAATAAAATTAGGTTTAATTATGAGATAAATGGTAAAAAAATCGAAGAGGTTAATAACATAAGAGATCTAGGTATATACATAGATAACAAGCTAAAGTTTGATCATCATATATCAAAAATTACCAAATCCTCATTTATAAGAATAAACAATATCCTAAGAATATTACCAAAAACATTACCAATAGAAACATATGTAAAAGCATTCAAAACATACGTAAGACCCATTATGGAGTATTCCACCGAAAATTTTAGCCCCAAATTAGAATATCTTAATAAACAATTAGAAAGACCACAAAAAAGCTTTACAAGGAGAATTTTAAGATATAAATACAAATACCAGAAAATAGAATATAACGAAAGACTAAAAAGATGCAAACTCCTTCCCTCCAATCTCCGTCGTATAAAAACTGATCTTATGACAACCTACAAAATAATCATGGGTTTCTATAAAATAAATCCAGAAAAAATATTTTCAAAACCTAATAGAATTAATCCGCGCTTACATAAATATCAGCTATTCAAAAAGCAAGCCAAAAATAATCATTTCTTTTCACATAGAGTCATAGATAGGTGGAATAAACTTCCAAAAAAAGAAATTGAAAAAATCAGTACTATACCGCAATTTAAAAAATTTTTAGACAAAATATTAACCACAGAAGATTATAATTTATGAGTATGAATTAATGGAGTGTATTAACATAAAATCCTAACCCAAATGTTCACTTTCTTACCTAAACAAATTTACTCAACATTTAAATAAAATTAGTTTTAATACAAATATTTTTTATATACCCAAATATACATACCTATATATTTTTTTATGGCATTTAATTTTATACATTTAATTTATTTTTTCTGTGGAGTCCATTATTTATTTTTTTTTACAACTTAACATTTTTTTTAAAACAGTCATATTTTATTTGTTTTTTTTTTATTGTACGTTACCTCTCCATAAGTGATCCCTGTGGATCCAGGAGTTTTATTTTATTGTTTCACACTTATTTATTTGTGTTCGATAAAGAAAAAAAAAAAAATTTAATATTTAAAAAATATTTATTTATTCTAACAGTATTCTAATATCTTTCGTTTTTTAAAATCTATTTCGGCATAATATGACAGATAAGTGCTCGAGACTCATGGTCAAACAACTTATTAAAATAATTTACATACTTTTATTGGTACTTTTCCGTTATGACGTAACACCCTAAATTGATGTTCAAAATGTCATATATAGGGTAGAAAAAGGTGCTGAGTCGAATGGTACCACTCTTTTTTCACGGAGATGCCTGTGGACCGAGATATAGAGCTCGAAATGGTCAAAAACCATAGGGGAAGTGCGCCTCGCCTACGCCCCATAGGTTTGCGTTGACCATTTTGAGCTTGTTCATCTAGTCTCAAAATCAAGATTTCGAGCTGATTTTGGTGTCATTCGACTCAGCTCGAGGAGCTCTTTCGAATGAGCTATCATTCAAAAAATGGAACTTTTCACCCCAAATTTAAGCTTACTCCCCCCTATGGTTTTTGACCATTTCGAGCTCTATATCTCGGTCCACAGGCATCTCCGTAAAAAAAGAGTAATACCATTCGACTCAGCACCTTTTTCTACCCTATATATGACGTTTTGAACATTAATTTTGGGTATTACGTCATAACGGAAAAGTACCCTTTTATTTAAAAGATTTTACATACTTTTTATCCCACATTTGTTGATAATTAAAAGGAAAGTAAACAGCATGAAAACGATTTAATGCCAATACAGTTATGTGTATGTAAATTGAAACTGTTAATATTGTAAACGTGGGTAGAGTAACAGGATTAGTTGTCATAAATGCGGAAGTTGAAGGAAAATAAAAACATATGTTGACGAATATTTGTAGAAATTGATATAAAAGGTTCCCACAAGTCTAGATTTGGAAAAAATTAGTAATTTGTTTGCAAGTTTTAATAATTTGGAATTCAATAACGCCTTTTTGGGGGGGGGGGGGGGTTCCCGCTCAACTAGGGTTGAGCGGGATCGGAATCGTGGTTAGGGTTGTTCACCGTCCCCGAAAGTCGGGGAATTTGAGAGATTATTTGAATTTTTATGTTTTAGGCCAAGATCCCGACCCCGCTCAAATCAGTGAATTGGGGGCATACTCGGTATTTGGCTATGCTCACGTTCTCGGGTGTGCTTACTGATACAGTTATTTTTATAAAGTCAACAGTACTGCCCACTAGAGATTGAGCTGGGTCAGGACCAAGGCCTGGGTTTTTCCTGACCCAGAGTCCAGTCCAGGCTTTTTTAACACCTGGGTTTTTCATGGGCCTGGGTTTTTCACGGACTACAGGCATATGATCCGGCCCAGGCCAATAAATCAAACCCAGAGCCCAGAACAGGTCCACTTTATTCTTTAAGAATCAGAGATGTTACGAAATTTCGATTTTCGTGTTTCGAAGATTTTTAAGTTTTTAAACAGATCTGTTTAGAATAAACTTGCCTTGCTGAAAAGAATAAATAAAGCAGTTCTTTCCTTTGAAAATTTATATAGAGGACGTATTAAGATTAATAAAAATATTGCACATGCTAAACATGTGGAAATGTTAACACTACGAAAAATGATGCCTTTTAAATTTTGATCAACTACCATCTATAAAAAAGATTTTTTAAAATATTAATGAAAATTTTAAATTAGTATGCAGTCAGGACTTGCTTTTAAATACATCCAGAATTACATAATAATGTTGTTTATGCTCTCGAAATTTCGCTTTTTTCGACTCGTCTGCTTTCCCCTTATGCCAGCGCTTTTTGTTTTCCTTCTTTAATCTTTCGCTTTTTAAATTAACCCAAGGCCCATCCCCGGCGCTTAGTATAAAGGCTTTCATCAGAAAAATTTTAATTCCGGATTTTGGATTTCGCGCTCATGCCGGTCTGAGTTAGGCCGAAGTCAAGTAAAAATAATTTTTAGACTTCGGCATACTCTAGTACATATAATCGTATCCCTAAAATTCATTGGATAGAACTAAATCCCACAGTATAATCTTGATATCCCTTTCCTTGGAACTCTATAGATGATAAACAGTCGACTTTTTCATCACCTGAGATGGTGTGATCCGTTTAGCTAGTGTAAGGAGGATTCACCTAGAGCATTCAAAAGCGGGGGTTAAACGATCTAAAAAGGAAAAAGAGAAAGCATTAGTCGATGCCCCGGTAGCTCAGTGGCAGAGCTACTGTATGTGGTGAGCTAAAGCGCCTAGCAATAACTATGAGGAGGTCGCATGTTCTAATCCTGCCCGGTGGCCAAACTTTGGTTAAACTCTTTCTGTAGTGGTGATATTTAAGGAATGATTTTTTGAGGGTTTGAGTTATCGTTTGTTCAGTATAGGACCGAAGTGTCAAGCCTTTTATACTAAATTCACGCCATCTTTTTGGATTAAAAATTTGAGATAATGAGGTAAACAAAATTATTATTTACAAAAAAAAAACAAAAATTTACTTCTCATTATTTTAAATTATAAAAACAAATAATTAGAAAATTTTTTTTATTTTCTAATAAACCACGCAAATACAAGTACTGACCACACAGAAATTATTTTTAAAAATATTTTTTAAAAATTAATTAAAAAATAATTTAGTCAAGCATAAATATTTATAATTTTTTGCTGCTCATTAATATATTTTTTAAATAAAGGTAATTGAAATAATAAAGTGAGGTAATTGAAATAATAAAGATAAGAGGGGTGGGCTGTGGCCTCGCGCATTATTTTATCAAAAAATGGTTCGAAAAAATTGTTGATTGGGAAAATAATGTTAACAGTATAGATGTTCACAACGCCCCAAACCTTTCGTATGGGAGTGTTCGAGCGCGGGGGTTGCCGAGGAAGGCGTGTCAACGTTCTTTGGCAGGGTGGGATTAAGGATAATGCGAAGAAATTCGTGATCAAAGAGGGTATCATGAACTTGCTTTCACTTAATCCTCCAACTCCCCTAATATCACTCAATCCTTCCTTATTCCCAAAGGTATATCCCTCCTTATTCCACTGATACCCCTAATTTCAGAACCTCTTTTATCGCCCGTTACCATCACTTATATCCGACAAATCCGTTTATACTCCACTCCCTAATCCACATATATCACTTAATCACCGGTAAATCTTCGGTTCGGTTCGGTGAACGGAAAGTTTCGGTTCGGTTTGTCGGTTCCAGTTCAGACCTGAACGTCTATTCTACTGCCGGACACGTAGCAAATGATCTTAGAAAGTTTATTGCCAGAAAATCTCGTAATGTTATTTACATTTTTAAAAATTGCGGATTGCGAGTTGCGGAAATTGCGTAAATTGCTGGTTTTTTGCAATTGCGAGTTGCGAAATTTTTTTTCAATTGCGTGCAGCTCTGCTACACATCCGCTCCAAAATGTTCTGGGTGCAACCTGTAGTTGAAAATATATCTATTAAAATATTTATTAAAATAAATACTTCAAGCACTAAGAATTTTAATGAAAATATTATTTTATTAGAATTTAATTTCTAGACAAATATTTTTGTACTTAATATGTGAAAAAAAATTTATTTCTTCGAATAAATATTTATTATAAATTGTTTTCTTAATTTTAATTTTTTAAATTTATGTCTGGGAATATTTGCAACTATTCAAAATATTTTTTAAAATTAAATTAAGGGTCGAAATTGTTTTTTTAAACTTTTTTTTTTTTAAATTTTTAAAATTTTTTTTTAATTTTTAAATTTTTTTCAGTCCTTCCCTGTTATCTACAGGCAGACCTAGATTTTACTTATACATCTTAGGCTTAAAAATGGTATATAAAACTTATTTATTCAAAAATAGGGTTTTATATATTATGTAAATTGATAGCCATTTAATTATAAAAGCTAGAAATCATGCTTCTACGCTTTCTATTGTAAGGATGATTCACCTAGCAGTATTTAATCCGATTAGCAGGGGTTAAACGAACTTAAGGATAAAGAGAGACAATAGTAGGGAGCAGGCCAGTGTACCGCGAGCCCAATGTACCGCCGAGCTATAACTTTTTCCAAAATGTCGTATCCGTGGCGCCCTGGTATGGTTCGATTCAGCTGGTCGAGACGCATCGAACCATACCAGGGCGCCACGGATTCGGCAATTCTGAACAAAGTTATAGCTCGGCGGTACATTGGGCTCGCGGTACATCGGGGTGTACCCACATTAGTATTAGTCAAGATAGCCCAGTAGTAGAGCACTTCCATTTATGAGAGCAAGGACGAGCGAGCACTGTCAAAGTTGTCGAAAGTTCGAATCCTGCCCTAGACTACTCTCAAGTTTTTCGTACCTTCTGTGCCGTATTACCGATACAGACCATAGATAGTGCGGTACAGTTTAATAACAAGTTTTTCTACCGGAAGTTGATGAAATAAATTTTTGCGCATAAAGAAGCTTTTAAATAAATGTATAAAATTCTCTTAACAAGTTACGCACATTAAATAAAAAAATTATTACTTTCAATTTTTAAAAAGCAATTATAAACGTTATAATTATCAATTTATGTCAACGTTTAATAAAATAATTGTATATATTTAATTGGGGACTGGGCCATTAGGGCGCGAGCTTATAAAACAGTGAGTTGCTTATCAATAAAGATAAAATTTTGCAATAATAACTCTCATGCCTTTATCTACGTTCTCCAAAAATTTCAGCATTTTTGATCAAGAATTTCGAAAATTGTGGCCAAAAATGTTGATTTTCCGAAAAAACCCTTTTTTTCGCGGTTTATCGACAATAACTTCAGAAATATTCGATGAAAAATTCTGAAATTTCTGGAGGAGGTAGTCAAGGATGTTAAAGAAATTTGAGAAAATTTTCATAAATTTCGGTTTCGCCTAAGTGTCAGTTTCTAGGGCTGGCGCCCTAATGGCCCCGCGCCCTTATGACCCCAACCCATATAATTTTAATTTGTTTCAAGTAGCTGTGGTGCTTTATAAAATTGACAATTTTATAATTTAAGAGCGCAATTGGATCTCGTATACCGAACTTTGTATACTTTTTAATGTACTTACAATTAATGAGAATCTGTAAATTATATAGAAAAGGGCTGGGTTTTTTGTTTAAAGGAAAAATAAAACACTCTCGAATCAAATATTAATTTTCCCTATTTTTACATTTTATTTAAAGCATATTCAAGCAAACTATTTTTTCTTTTATTGTTTATTCTCTCCCTTTAAAAATAAATTAAAAAGAGAAATGATAATAATTGGAAAAGCAAAAAAATCCAAAAAATTTTGATAAAGAAATTATTAAAAAAAAGAAAACAAAGTGTAGTCGGATATAGCAATTGATAAAATATGTTGGCACAAGACTAAATTAATTAAAAAAGAAAAATAAAATCAGATTTTAGACAATTCTGTGTTAATTAAATTTCTGTCAGCAACTCTGCTAAAAGGATAGACAGACCCATATCGATGGTATTACCCAAATGAGCCCATGAGGATGTTTAAAAATTTTTTGATTTCAAGGCAAAGGATCATAGTGCCAGTGGGCGAAGAAAGAATTTTGACTGACATTATACCAGAGATGGGTTGTTTTGGGCTTTTCTTCGGATAGACTTCGAATTTCAGGTAAAAAAATGTCCGTGACACTTCTAATCCATATATCCCTATTTGAAGGGATATTTTATATTTAAAAACGGTTACAAATTAAAAAGAGTAGAGCAGCTGGGCTATAGCTATTTCTCTCCTTTAGCTAGTGCAAAAGGTTATTCGGCGGCTGGGAGCGAACCAGCATCTTCAGTAGACCGGACTGATGTGTTACACCACTCCGCCTACTGCTCAGCCTTAGGAATTAATAGCTATATACTTTACAAAAGGATTATTGAAGGAAAAGTGAGTGAATGAATGTGACCACAGGCAACTTTTTTAAAATTATGGAAGCAAAAAATGACTGACCATTCTGTACTTCAACTAAATTGCGGACTATGGGGGGGGGGGGGGAAGGAAATAAGTACACTTTGAAGTATTAGTAAGGCACATTTTTAAGAGCAGAAGTTGTCAGAATTAATAATAAGTTTATAAAGTAATGGGACTGAAACTAGCCCCACAATAATAGTAAAAGATACGTCGGGATTGCTACTGTTTTTTCACACATTCAGAACAACTATGAATGAAGCTCTTCATAAGTTTGGATGGTGGCTCAGTTGGTTGTTCTCTGAGATCGAGCCCTTTCCATGATGAAACCCTTCCATAATATTCCACCTACCATCAAAGGAATTTGCTTAGTAATAGATCTATAATGGTAGATCTATCATAATAGATCTAGAGAGCTAGTTGCTATAATTTCACCCAATAAACAGCTTAAATTAAACAGAACATAAGTAATTTGAAGTTTATTTTTATTTGATGTTGAGTGTATTGAATAGCAAGGTTTGATTGTAGGTAAATAAAATAGTTATTATTTAATTAATTAATATATTTTGTAGTTTAGCATGAAAATGAAAAAAAAGTTTTTTTCTGGATTTTTACGAATTTTCAAAATTTTATTAAAAAAATTTCCTCAAAAAATTTTTTTGAGGAAATAAATTAATTGTACTAATCATGAATATAAGTCCACACTGTTATTTTAATATTAGGTAGGTGTTTATTAGAATGAGGGAAGTGTTAATTAGGATCAGAGGTGGGTCTGAACAGTCAAGAGTGTCGGAAATCGGAAGAGCCGGAAATCGGAACTGTCTTAAAAGTCGGAACTCGGAAATCGGAAAAATTTTTTTCGGAAATCGGAAGGATGAAGGATATCCAAACGAATATGGAATAAATAAAGTAAAAATTCTAAATAATTTTATTAAGGGACACGCCCAAATAGGCGCGCGACCATAACGGCGCAGAGCCATAACTTGCAGGAAAATTTCCGGCCCTTATTAATTTTGGTACCAATCTCTTCAGCTCGATGAGAGGAATCGTTTAATACTAAATTTGTTAATATTCGGTAATCTTTAAGCAAGTTATGGCTTTGCGCCGTTATAGTCGCGCGCCTAATTGTACCCTTTTAATAAATGCAAAATTTAATTTTTTTAATATTTTTTTCTTTCAAAAATAAAATTAAATAAATAAAATATAGAGAAATAAAACTATTTTACCAATATTATTTGAAAAATATTTTTTAACCAAAAAAAGAAGAGGAACATACAGTGCTGGAAAAAACTATAGCCACACTTTTGAAAACTTTATAACTTATGAAGGAGTTATCCAAACAACATCAAATTTTGTTGAAAAATGTAAAAAATAGATAGAAAAATAATGGTATTTAAATATTTTCAAAATTT